TAAATAAATAAAGGAAAAGAAAATAACAATGTGGAAAAGAATTAAAACAATAGGTAAATAACCTGCAGGTTGTGGATAGTTTTAAAGATTCCTATGATATTCACAATAATTGTCCACACTTTGAATGGCAACTCTGAATAAAATCTCTTGCTTTTGATAGACTTCTTGGGAGACTGTAGGGGGCAAGAAAAAGAACTTTGGAAAAGAAAGTTCGGAAAACAAAGAGAATAGAGAGAAGAGAAGCGAGAGAGAAGCAAATCAAGCAAATCGTGGACGTGGTAACAACAACCGGAAAGGAAAAGGAAGCAATCGTGGCAGAGAATGTAAGTATAGACTTTCATACGTCTTTAAAAGCTGGAAGAACAGTTTAAAGAATGCTTTTATTATCATGTTTTCACTGCAAAATTTAATAGTTCACCCTACTAGTGAACAGCATCAGAGTAGTTCCTGAGAGCCTGTATTACAGTTTTTTATCAGCACTGACTTGGACTGTAGGTAATTATACCAGGTACCATAGGACTGCCTTCTGTTAAGAATTAAGTATGTTGGGGCTGGTGAGATGGCTCAGTGGTCTAAAGCACCTACTTAGAACAAGCTTAGCAAAGCACTGGGACCGCGGTTTAATCCCCCAGCACCACATGCCAGCCAGCCCCGCCCCCTGGTGGGTTCAGCTGGCCACACACACACACACACACACACACACACACACACACACAAAAGAATTAAGTATGTTTTCTAATTTTATTTGTTTATTTTTTTGGCTGAACCGGGGATTGAACTCAGGCCCTTGCACTTGCAAGGCAAGCGCTTATTCAACTGAGCTATCTCCCCAGCCCGTTTTCTAATTTTAAAGACATGTTGGGAAGCTGATTTGCTGGCAGAGTAAGCTGTTTTCTCTACTTATGGATATTTATGGTATAGGCAAGGGCTGAGTTGATCAGAAACTTGTTGAATGGGTGGGATTTTCTCAATACTTTTCAGAAAACCAGGTTTGGCCACAAACCTGTTTATGTGAGAACAATCCTAGAGATTTTGCTTTCTCATTTATACCACAGATATTTATTGAGTACTTGGTATGTAGTGAATACTGTAATAAGCACATACAGAAATGAATAAAAGAGAAGTTGAGCATGGTGGTATATGCTGGAAGTCCTAGCACATGGGAGGCTGAGGCAGGAGGATCAGAAACTCAAGGGCAGCTGGCATCGTAACACTCTGTCCCAAAAAATAAAAAAGAAAGAGAAAAAAAAGACAAAATGAGGAAAGCAGAACACTGCCCCTTCTAGATTTTATTTTTAATCAAGGTAGAGTGGGATATAAGAATTAAAAAATGTGAAAAAAATTTTACAACATATTTTTGGTGAAACTGGGGGTTGAACTCAGCACCACACTCATGCACAGCTTGTGCTTTGCCACTTGAGTTATACCCTAACCTGTTATATTTTAACAGTATTATCTAGAAACAAAAGCAAAAAGAATGAGGATAATAGGAGGGGATGTGGCAAATTTAAACATACTGCAAGGAAGCCCTCACTGAGAACTCATCTCTGAAAGAGGCAAGAGGAGCAGTGATGCCAATATCTTTCTTCACATATCTGTATGTACTCATTAATGTTAGTATGGATAAAGCGCAGAAGATATAATATGCTGGTATCTGCTAGACTAACAACTAACATTCTGGAAAAACCTATAATAATTTGATTTTTTCCAAGGACATAGTTTTTCTTTGGTATGTTTTTTAAAGCACATTTTATTTTAAAATACATAAAGAGGCTTTAGGGCTGAGAAAATAGCTCAGCAGTATAATTGCCTGCCTGGCAAGCAGAAAGTCCTGAGTTTGATCCTTGGTACAAAAACAAAGGCAAAAAAATACTATATAAATTATTTTAAGGGCCTGCCAGATAGCTCAGTGGACTAAAGTGCATGCTTAGGCAGAGCACAGTGGTAGGGGTTCGAGGCCCCTGCTGTGCGGGCCCCACCCCTGGGGCGCTCTGAGATAGCAATTGAGACTGGGCGTGGTGGCACGTGCCTGTAATCTCAGCACTTGGGAGGCTGAAAATAGGAGAATCACTATGAGTCTGATCTGTGTAGTGAGAACATGTAAACCCTGTAGACCATGTACTAAATATATTTTTTTAAAGAAGTATTTTATTTTAAAATACATTGTAGATGTACATAAGAATAACATTCATTATAGGGAATTTGTACCTGCATAGGCATATCTTGCTTTTTTTCTCATTCCCCTCCCTTTAGCCTTGGTATGTTATTTGCTGTTCATTCCTTTACAGGTTTGAATTTACTAATGAGCAAATTCTGTGGTATGTTGTGTAGTTGCATAATAAAACTCTTTTAAAAAAAGCAAACTTACTTTAGAAAAAATCCCTAGAGAACCAAGAAAAATTGCTGTATTTTCTTTTTAGAATTTACATCTGAATTGTGCAAGATATGTTGCCATTCAACTTTTGTGTCACTTTTTATTTTTTGTTTTCTGAACTTGTTTAAACTGGCTTTTAGCCTCCTCTTTTTTTTTTCCCCCCTCCCTCTGTCTTTGCTTTAAGTGCTATCCAGTAAGGTTATGTACAAAAGTTTTAAAGTAGATTTTTATGTTTTTTCCTCTTTAGTTAGAGGGGAAGAGAATGGAATTGATTGTAATCAAGGGGACAAAACTTCAGACCGGGGCAAGCGAGCCCGTGTTCGAGGTGAGCTGGAATGATGGGGAAGGAAATGTTTGGCATCAGAGGGAAGAAGACAAGGCTGCGGGGTGGTTCTATGTAGGGAGGGCAGAGTACTTTGAAAGAATAGATGGTCTTCTACAATCTTATAATTCATTTACTGATTTACTGATGCCTGTGGATGCGCTGTTTGGATTGTACGGTTTTGAAGAAACTGATTGTTTTCAGATGAACTGGGAAAATTTTTTTGTTTTTGTTTTTGAGATGGGGACTTGCAGTCTAGCCTTCAGTTTAGTATATAGCCCATGCTGGCAGTTCTCCTGTTTCTCCTTCCTGAGTGCTGAGATCACAGTTATATGCCACCATTCTCTGCTGAGAAACCAGTTTTTATGAATCATTTAAAACTTGAGAGACTGGGGATTTAGCTCAGTGGTAAAACATGAGATTCTGAATTTGATTCCTGATCTCCCCCACACCCTTACCCCCCATAGAATCATGTCTTGCTGAGTGTGGTGGTATATGTCCATAATCCTAGTGCTAGGAGACTGAGGCAAAAGGATCACTACAAGTTCAGGGCTAGCCTTGGCTAGAGAGTGAGTTCAAGGCCACTATGCATAGCAGGGGCAGGATTGGCAGGGCATGTGGTGTGGGGGATCAGACCATGGCCTAAGCAGGTGCTTAGTCTGCTGAGCTATCCCACCCCCCCTTTTTCTTAATCTGGGAAGAAAAATACCTAGTTTATTCCACATGTGTGACATGGGAGGTGCAGTCTCAAAGAGAGTCAAGAAGGATAACCCTTACATAGGCCTGAACTTGATACGAACTTGGATTTCTGAGACCAAGAAAGGTAGCCTAGGCTATGAATACTGTGGGGGAAGATGAACACCCCCAAGTTAGTGTTGTCTTGTGAAACAGTTGAAGTCTCGCAGATAACAGCCATCAGTGGTAATCTTTGTCTGAGACCATTGTCAGACATCCAGTGTCTTCTTTCTATACACTGGAGGTGACTAGTATCTAATATTCATCCCCGGGGTTATCCAAATTTGAACCAAAGATGCAGAGCACAGGGGCCCAGTTACTTTTGTGAGTTTGAATCTCTAAGGGCCAGGACTCTCACTGACAAATGGGTAGGCTTTAACTGGACATGGTGGCATATACCTGTAATCCCAGCACTCAAGAGGCTGAAGCAAGAGGGCCTCACAAGTTTAAGGAGCCAGGCCCTGTCTCAAAAGAAAGACTGAGTTACTACAACATCAGGTTAGTATACAGCCACAAGTTAGTTCATAGTTCTGTGGTTCTGGGCAGTCCTGCTTGTAGGATCTTTCTGAAGTGTGTGAGTCTAGGGTTGTAAAATCTGTAAGGATTATGGCTGTATTAGGGTTTCCTATTCATATTATGGTAATGGGGAAAGAGAGTCTACATTAGGGTTCTTCCAACCAGTATTTTCAGGAGAAGGAAAGAGATAATGTATTGTTTCATAAAGAATCCCCCCTCACCCCTATGGTAGTGGGGATTGAACCCAGGGTTTTATGCATGCTAGATGCTAGGTAAGTGTGTTACCACTGAGCTATATGCAGTTTTTAAAAAAGAAATTTTTTTTTTTCTTTTTTTCATTTTTTTGAGACAGGGTCTCCCTATGTAATTTAGGCTGGCCTTCAAATCATTATGTAGACCAAGCTAGCCTCAAGCTTGCAGCGATCCTCCTGCCTCAGCCTCCCAAGTGCTGGGATTACAAGTTGTGCTACCACATCTGGCATTCATAGTCTTGGTGTATTTAGCAGCTCACAGATAATCTAAAAGTTAGTGAAGCTCATTACTTTTATTTGCTGTTTTATATAACTTTGAATTTGCTTAATGGAGAAAAAGATTAACATGTTTTTCATATGGAATTCATGGCATAGCACTCTTTCTGAGGTATAACAATGAGTTTATGAATTGGAAATAATATCCTCAGTATAAATATTAGGTCATATGATACTTAATTCTTTGTATATCTTTTTTTAATTAGTGGGTATTGGTTGTACAAAGTAATGGATTTTAATTTTGCAGAACATGCACATAACATACTTTGATCATTTTCATACATGCACTCCCCTTTCCTCTCTTACCTTACCTTCCTCCCCAGTTTCACCTTTGGGGAGTTTCAATGTGTCAGTCCAATTCATGTCACCCTTTCTTTTCTTTTCTTTCTTTTTTTTTTTTTTTTTTGGTACAGGGTCTTGCTGCGTGGTTCAGACTCGTAGTGATCCTCTTATTTCTTCTCTTTTCTTTCTTTTTTTTTTTTTTTTCCGGAACCGGAGACTGAACTCAGATCCTTGAGTTTGCCAGTCAAGTGCTTATCCTACTGAGCCATCTCCCCAGCCCTGTCCTCTTATTTCAATGATCCTCCATAACCAGTTTTGGGGCTGGCATGGCAGGTAGTACCAAGGATCGAATTCAGGACCTTGTGCTTGCCAGGCAGGTGTTTATGCCACCAAGCTATCTCTCCAGCCCCCCATCTTTTTACTCTTTCCTTCTTGTTCTCTTTCCTCTAATAATAGTCTCCTTTCAGTTTTGATCTTTTTTAGAATCTGTATTTTTTTTTTTTTTTTTTTTTTTTTTTTTTTTAGGGAAGGGTCTGCAGGGTTTTCAGGGTCTCACTATTAGATTGGACTTGTAGTGTTCCACCTGTTTACAGCCTCCTAAGAACTGGAATTACAGGCGCATGCCACCATGCCTAGTCTCAATTGCCATCTCAGCATGCCCCAGGGTCGGGTCCTGCATGGCAGGCCCTGGAATTGAAGCCCCAGCCCCTGCGCCTGCTTGCAGGCACTTTAATCTGCTGAGCTATTTGGCCGGCCCTTAGAGTCCATATTTTAAGGAGAACTGTTACGTTTGTCTGAGTCTGGATTAATTTGCATAACATTTTGTTCTCTAGATTGATCTGTTTTCCTGCAAAATTTTATTCTTTTTTTGTGGTTAAATAATGCTCCATTGTGTATATATTTTCTTTATTCACTTTTTTCTTTACTGATGGGCACTGAAGCTTGTTCCTTAATTTTTATTTTTATTTTTTATGTATTTGTTACAGGGTCTCACTACGCACATTGGACTCGTGGTGATGCTCCTGTTTTCAGCCTCACCAGAGCTGGGATTACATCTGTGCGCCACTTTGTCCAGTCTTAGTCGTGGCCCAGAGTGCCCTGGGGGTGTGGCATGTGGTGCCAGAACCCCGTCCCTAAGCAACTTCGGTCCCTAAACTTATGTAAGCAGGCATTTAGTCTGCTGAGCTATCTTGCCAATGCTGTTCCTTAATTTTTTGTTTTATTTTTTCATTTGTGTATTTGGCACAGGGTTTCACCATGTAGATCACACTCGTAATGATCCTCCTGTTTTCAGCCTCCCCAGTGCTGGTATTACAGGTGTGCACCACCATACCTGGACTAAGTCTCCTGGTTTAGTGCACGCCAGGGGTGGGGCTGGCATGGCCAGTGGTGCCTGGGATTGAACACTGGTCCCTGCGCTTACCAAGGCAGGCACTTTGTTCACTGAGCTATCTTGCTGGCCCTAGTTTCTTAATTTTTTAAAGAAGTTCCACACCGATTTCCACAGTGACTACACTATTTTAGATTCCTACTAGCAGTGTAAAAAGGCCCTTATCCATACTACTATTTATTTATCTTTAGGTTTTTTTTTGTTTTTGTTTTTTTGAGTGGCTCTGAAAAGAGCCTTTGGGGTGCGCGCGGGGAGTGCTCACTTGGAGCTGGTGTACTTGGTGACGGCTGTGGTGCCCTCTGACACTGCGTGCTTGGCCAGCTCCCCGGGCAGCAGCAGCTGCATGGCCGTCTGGATCTCCTGCGACGTGATGGTGGAGCACTTGCTGTAGTGCGCCAGGCGCGATGCCTCGCCTGCGATGCACTCGAAGATGTCGTTCACGAACAAGTTCATGATACCCATGGCCTTGGACGAGATGCCCGTGTCAGGGTGCACCTGCTTCAGCATCTTGTACATGTACACTGAGTAGTTCTCCTTGAGGCTGCACTTGTGCTTCTTGCCGTCCTTCTGCTGCGCCTTGGTCACTGCCTTCTTCGAGCCCTTCTTCGGACCGGGCTCAGGCATCGCGGAACCAGCAGAGAGTGATATACGGACTCACTATCTTTAGTATTGATGATAACGATTCTAGCTATTTCTCTTATCCCTATTTTTAATTTTTGAAGCCTATGCTATATCTTATTGAGTCCTGGTAATACATAGTATTTAAAAAAATACAGTTTATTGTGCCAGGGCATAAGTGCCTGCCTGGCAAGCACAAGGTCCCGAGTTTGATCCCCAGTATTGCAACAAAAACAAACAGAAAACACATTAAAAAGTTTAAAAAAGAATATAGTGTGCTAAAGTAAAATTAATTTTCAAACAGCTGAGCTATTTCTTATTGACATTATTGTACCTTTAAATACTTCAGTTTGACCCATGAAAAAGAAATCCATATTTATGAAAGTGAGGTTACATATCACTATTAAATCTAACAAGTTTGACTTACATATTTTGTTGTTGAACAATGTTTATCTTAGAAAATAATGGATGATGTGATCAGCTGTCATTAGTGTCTCCCTTACATTTTCAGAAAACAAATCGGTCAGTATTTATCTTAAAATAGCTTTGAAACAACAGAATAGATAGATAATTTGGGGTGGCATTTGAACTTGTCCCTGTTTCCTATTTTATCTTCTGTTTTGCCTGTTATTTATGGATACACGTATGTGTATTTTGAGTTTCTTACATAAGAGAATCTGTAATATTGAAGCTTGTGTGTCTGATTTATTTCACTCAACACTGTGTTCTCAAGTTGCATCCATTAGCCTATAGATGCCTCAAATTTATTGCATGGCTTTGGGAAGCTGAGGAAGGAGAAAGCAAATGAAAATTAGGCAGCAGTGTCAAAGGAAGAGCTAGTGCAAGGGGCCTAATATAGGCAGGAACTTAACTTTTTTCAAAAATAAAAACTTACTTAAGGGGCTGGTGAGATGGCTCAGTGGTCTAAAGCACCTACTTAGAACAAGCTTAGCAAAGCACAGGGACCGC